ATGATCACTGTTGCCTGGGGTACCACCAATCCTTAGGTCGCTTATGATGTCCTCCCCTTTGGTCAGCACTAAATCCAGGGTGGCCTTGCCCCTAGTAGGCCCTTCTACAACCTGTGTCAGAAACAGATTGTCTGTTGTTGCCAGGAAGTTGGCTGACATGCTGGAGGCAGCTGAATGGTCTTCCCAATAGATGTCTGAGTAGTTGAAGTCACCCATGACTATCATGTCTTTAGTGCTAGCTGCCTCTGTCAGTCCTCCTGAGAATGCTCAATGGCTCTCTTCCTCTTGGGAGGGAGGCCTATAGTAGATTCGCAGCATCAGGTCTCCCTCTCCTCGTCCCCCTTGTAGTCTGACTCAGAGGGTCTCAAGGGCCCCTTCCTTGATGTCAAACATGATCTGCAGGGAGGGTTACTGTTCTTTCATATAGAGGGCCTGTAACAGGAGGTCTTCTCGGGGCCGATTTAACTGTGGCCCGCCCCCCTGTTTCTGGGCTAACTGCCCACCTTCTTTCCCGCCACACCTTGTTAGAATTAATTAATAGATGTTAATAAGCAGGAGGCTGCCCATTTCCTGCCCTGATGCCAGGGGGCACTATCTGCAGGTCCATTCCTTCCCTACGCTGCAGCCCGAGCCTCGCAGATGGCATCTCGATGTTATCATCATTACCAGCCCCCACACTGGGCCCCAGAATCCTCCTAATTGAACCCCGCCTGGATTCCTCTCCTCAGGCGGCCTCATCTGCCTTCATACTAGGCAGCATAACTCCCTAAACTGCTTCCCCTTCGGGTGTGGTCCCCCCGGGACCTTCGGCTCGCTAGCCCTGGCCCACCTCCAGGCCAGTTGGAACGCCAGGTACACAGCTCTTGGGCGTTCCTCGCGGTGGGCCCCTGGCCCTTTGACCCTTCCGGTCCTGGCCCCAGCATTGACCAGTCAGGGGAAGTCCAGACAGGCATGAGTCTATGGCCTTTTCTCGCTCTCCGGGGGTCCACCCTCCAGACCCTACGAAGGGGTAATCCACGCAGTTGTGGGGGCCAGGGGTTAAGACACCTCGACCTGCCTTTCACCAGGGTGGTCACTGGCCTGGCATTTCCTGGGGGCTTCCGCACCACTGAGAGCCCCACCAGGCCACCCACTCCCGGCAGGGTGCAGTTTTAGGTTGTACCCAGGACCAGGAGCCTCCTGACCATCCCCTACAGCTCCTCCCTTCCCTCCAGATGATACCAGCAGCCCTCCGGCCAGGCGATATTGTTGCCTGGCCTCCAGCAGCAGAACTGCCCTGTTTATATGGGCAGCCCCAAATTAAAAAATGGGTGCCCTCATCAGGCACCTGGCAGCTGCCAGCTCCAGGCCCTTAAAGTGGCAGGCACAGGGCCACACCTTCTTCCCAATCCAATCCTTCCTATAAAGCCTGTAACCTTCAGTATTCATTGCCCAGTCATGTATATCATCCCACCAGGTCTCTGTCAACCCAATCAAATTGAATGTCTCATCAGCCAGTAGGACTGGCAGTTCCTCTTATTTATTTCTGTGCTTCTGACATTCCCATAAAGACATTTGAGCTCTCCCCTGCTCATCTCAGGTTTTCTATCACATTGTCTGCCTCAAGACATCCGTTGTTTGAATGTCCTCCCATGTGTCGTTGTGGCTAATGGATTCTGCTTCAGCAGCAAAACCTTCTCCCTGGCCCCCGGACACGGCTAGTTTAAATACCTCCTCAACAAGTTGGCAACTCTCATGGCGAAGAGCTTCTTCCCTCTGGTCATGAGATGAACAGCATCCCTTGCATGGAAGCCGCTGTAGTTAAACTGCATACCAAGGTCAAGGTATCCAAAGCCCACATGGTGACACCGTCTTCTAAGCCTTCGGTTGACCTCGATACACTCCTCCCTCTGTTGGCCACTGTCCCTGACTGGGAGGACTGCAGAGAAGACAACTTGTGCTACTAGGTCAGGGGTGGGCAATTATTTTGGGTGGAGGGCCACTTACCCAGTTTTGGCAAGCTGTCAAGGGCCACATGGGTAGCCCCTTGACAGGCGGCCCGTCCCCTGGTCACCGTCTTGGAACCAATGTCTCAGGACCAGCACCGGTGAGGCCCACAGCGTAGTGCAGGCTGGCAGGGGTCTGTGGAGCTGGACTCAGCTGCACTAGCAGGGAGAAGGGGGAGCTGGCTTGGCTCCATAGAGCCCCTACTGGCTGGGACCCTGTACTCCTGCTGCCCTGCTCTGGGCCCGGCCAGCGCTGGCCCTGGGACACCGGTGCAGGCCCCATGCTCCCACTAACTCCTGCATCTGCTCACTCCCAGTGCCCCCCACCCCAGCCCTGCAGTACAGGCGGGGGGCAGTGCACAGCCCCAACCTCCTGCTCACTGGCAGGGAAGGAGCTGGTGCTGAGCACGGGGAAAAGCAGCCCTTCCACCGCCCCATGGCCGGTGCTCCCTGCTGCAGAGGCTTGCAGCCCGCACAGGGCTGTCCTGAGCAAACTCCTGCATCTGCTCACTCCCAGTGCCCCCCACCCCAGCCCTGCAGTACAGGCGGGGGGCAGTGCACAGCCCCAACCTCCTGCTCACTGGCAGGGAAGGAGCTGGTGCTGAGCACGGGGAAAAGCAGCCCTTCCACCGCCCCATGGCCGGTGCTCCCTGCTGCAGAGGCTTGCAGCCCGCACAGGGCTGTCCTGAGCAGGCACAGGCAGCCCCATGTGGGCTGTGAGTGGCTGCAGCGCGGGGCGCTGCCCATGGGGTAGGCCACTTTTCCCACGCTCAGCATGCCGCCCCACACTGCAGCCACTCGCAGCCCGCATAGGGCTGCCTTTGCCTGGTCAGGACAGCCCCACACGGGCTGTGAGCAGCTGCAGCAGGGAGCACCGGTCACGGGGCAGGGGAGGGGCCACTTTTCCCTGCACTCAGCACCAGCTCCTTCCCTGGGCAGGGTCCTCCCCTGCCCTTCCCTCCCCCCTTACCTGAGTTTCCCCGCACTGGAAGAGCCACATGGTCCCAGGCCAGAAGCCCCTCCTGGGGCTTCTGGCTGGCAGGGCAGGGCAGGGCCGGGTAGGCCCTGCTGTTGTAGGAGTCCGCCAGGGCTTCCCCTGGGTCCTACTGCCCCTGGCTCCTGTCATTTTTGACAGGAACCAAGGACAAATAAATATTAATTTTCTAAATTTTTAGGGGATAGAATGGCCTCGCAGGCCGGATCTGGCCCGCAGGCCATATTTTGCCCACCCCTGGGCTAAGGGTTATTTAGGACCCCTTTCCCTTTGGAGCAGAACAGAAGACGTTGTCCCAGAAAGGGCATAAATCCTATAGTATCTATAGTTGACAATATATTATATTACTCCTGGTAATATATTAAAATGCATATTGATAGATTGCTTGTATTCAGTCTCATAAGAAGTGCAACATTAGGTCAGACCAGTGGTCTATCTAGCCCAGTTTCTTGCCTCTGACAATCGCAGAAGTTGATGCTACAGAGGGAGAGCTGGAACCCTCTAGAATGATCTAGATATAGTGACTCCCTACAGTGATCCTCTGGCATGTCTAAACCACCATTATTGGCTCAAAAATGCTGGAAGAAACATCTCTAACCATTCTGCTCAATAGCTATTAATTGATTTATCATCCATCAATTTAGCCAGGTTCAAAAAGGGACTGGATTTGCTATCTGCCTTTACCACCTCTTAGGGCAATGAAATCCACAAGTTAACTATGCGTTGCATAAAAAAGTACTTCTTCTTGCTAGGTTTAAACTTGTCATCTACTAGCTTCAGTGGGTGCTCCCTGGTGCTAGTATTAAATCTCTCTTTCAGGAGATCCAAATCTTAACTGGGAGCTTATCCTCCTTAATTAATTGCTTTCCTTTAAAACCATCTCTTTGAACAACAATTGAGTATGATTTTATGAGAGTTTTTTTTGGTGTTTTGCTCTAATTTATTTGTTTCTCTTCTTAATCTTTTCATCCTTAGAGGATAAGGGAAGGAATTATTTTAATAATAGAAGAAAAATATTTTTCATTATTTTTAGAGTTACAGTTAAACAAGGGACTTTTGAAAATTTTAAAATATTCAGTGTGCTTAAAGACTGTGAATGCAAACCCAAACTTTGGAACTGAGGAAGGTTTCACATTTTATTATAAACATATTATTACCATATTTTCCCAAAATAAAAATCAACACAAAGCATCCCTTCTATCTTCCCTATCTTCTTCCACGACCACAAATGCAAGCCCTCTCTGGTACATTTACACTATTGTACATTTGCAGGCACAGTCCCATAAGCGTAAGCCTGTATGCATCAAAACAGTTCTGCTTGCTTGCTTTCACATCTTTAAACATCTTAATTGTACCTCCTTCCATACACTTTCACAGCTGAAAACACCAAGTACAAGCTTTCACTTTGCTTACTTTTCTGCAGGTATGCATGCTGTGTATGCCAGTGTGTTGCTATGTGAATACCAACACACATACAGTATATTTATCTACAGTTCGATCTTAGACACCTCACACATTTGCACCCATACATATCTGCATTATAGGACCATAGAAAAGTAGGGCTGGAAGGGACCTCACAGGATCATCTAATTCAGCCCCGTGCTCAAAGCAGGACTAAACCATCCCAGACAAATGTCTGTCCAACCTATTCTTGGAAATTTCCAGGGATGAAGAATCCACAGCTTCTCTAGGTAGCCTACTCCAACGTTTGACCACCCTCAAAGTCAGAAAGTTCCTTCTAAATTGCCAACCCAAATTTCCTCTGCTGCTGCTTGGGGCCATTGCTCCATGTCCTGTCCCCTGGCCACAGAGGAAAAAAAACCCATCTCTATTCTTTCTCTAACTCCTTCAAGTATTTGAAAACTGTTATCAAATTCCCCTCTGTCTCCTCTCCAGGCTAAATATACTCTTTCAAATACGTGTGAACACAGTAATAAAACAAATTATTGTAATTATGCACTAGGGAGAGAGAACCTTAGTATGCTGGATTGCTGACTGCCTATCTGTGATTACCTCCTCAGATATGGGGGATTTTACCCTCAGTTTCGCTACCAAATTGGAGAAACCTATGGCAAAACCACATCTCACCTGCTCACCGATCCTAGTATTCAGAAGAGCCTGTGCTCTGTGCTGGCACCACTGGTGAAGCCAAAGTTCTTAAAGGATTTTAGTGACATAAAGCATCCCTTGAACCAGATGCTGGATCGAGACAAAAGTTATATTCCTGGCTACACAGGCAAGTAGAACTCAGGATTTCACTCCATACACAAACACAAGTTAAATTAAGTCTCAAATGGCTAAAATTAAGTCGGGGTTTTCACCCAAATAGGTGAGGTCTTGTAACAGAGGGGCAGAAGGCTCCTGTTACTTGAGGAGGAAAGAGCAGTAGGAGGAGCTAAACAGCCAGCCAGGGGAAAAAAGAGAAGCCAGGAGGGGGTATCATCAAGCTGGTTAACTTGCAATAGTCCAGCAGGGTAGAGTCCAGCAGGGGAGACGAAACACTTCTACAGTGGCTAGGCAGCAATGGTAAGCTACCCTGGGTTGAAGCCAGCTAGCCTAATCAGAAAACACCTGTGGGTAGCTGTGGAAGCCACCTAACCAGAAAGGGGCAGGGCCTAGAATATAAGCTCAGGAGTGAGCCAGGCAAGTACTCTGTCTCTAGAGGCCACTGGGGAAAGAGAGATGCCAGTTTCTGGGTGACTAATCGAGAGTCTGCTAGGGCTGAGGGCTGGCAGGGAACTTAAACCCAAATGAGAAGGGGTTGGTATACAGCCAGTTGGGTTAAGAGTTTAGTTATGGCCAGGGGACTTATGGTTTTGGTTTGAGTTTTGACCAGTAGACTATGTATGTGGCTGTAGTCAGGGAGCCAAAGGCATGCATTGCAGTTAACCTATGGTGGTGCACCTGAGGAACATATTGTGGTTAACCACAGCAGAGTTCCAGGGGCACACCAGTGTTTTGGAGCCCTGCCGGGGCAGGGGCTCTGGATAGAGATCAGGCTTAAGCCAAAGGGGATGTAAGCCCAGAGAGGGGCTGAAGCCCAGCCCGGGTGCAAGCCAGAAAGGGCCAGGGGCCCAGTGCTTGGGAAGGGTAGAGACCAGGGCCAAGGGGCCCAGACTCTGAGACGGTGAGATGGGGCCTGAAGCCCAAAAGCCAGGCCTGGGGCAGTGGACATAGGCAAAGGGCACAGACAGAGGAAAGGGGCAGAGGCAGGGAAGGCCAAGGCTCCAACAAGGGAGTAAAAGCCTTAGGTGGCCTGGTAGTGGCTTGGGGCAAAGTACTCCAGCTAACTGATAACTGTTAACATCTATGAGGCATGGACATGGCTATAGGGAAGTTTAGGAGGCCATGAATAGCCTGTAAGGCAAAAGGTACCCTGGGCATGTACGGGCCAGGGAGACCCATTCTGCATGAAAACAGGATTTGAGGCTAGCAGGATTCAGAGAAAGGATCCGCTGGTAGACTGTAGGACTGGAGCTGGCTCTAGGACCGTTAGGCAGCTTCCCTTTAAAAATTAATTACATCAAGTTATGGCAAAGTGAAAGCTAAAAGGAGGGTACCTTAAAGCCAGAGCAAGGCAGTTGCCATTTGGCCACCAGGGGGTGTTGCAGCTGACCCTGGGGCCAGGTCCTATTACAGGTCTGAATTCACAATATATGAACTACTTTGGAAAAAGTGTAACATACTTTAGTGGAAAAATCATAGCTTTGACATAGGAAAGGGGAATGGTTGCATTCATGTAATGTTTCCTTATTCAGTATGGATGTGGCCCCTCAGTCTCTTGCCTCTGAGAGTTGACAATATGAATGTTCTCACTCTCTTATTTGCCAAGTAACTGTAAAATGAAGTATTTTCTTCTCTTTTGATAAGGGTTCACATAGATTCCCACTTGTAGGATTTTGAATACACCCTTGGCATTGAGCTCAGACCCCTCTTCAATAGTAGTTCTCTTCAGGTAGCATACATGATGCTTTCGAACAGATTTGAACCTCAGTTTGCATCAGCAGGTCCACCAGGACCCAACAGAAGTTTTTCTTCTATGTTCTTCTCAGCATGGGAGAATTGTTTTTTATTTGCTTTTCCTGTAGTGACAAAGGTGTGTGTGTGTGTGTGTGGGGGGGGGGTTATGAGTATAAAGCTTTATAACAGCTCACTATCGAATTATGCAGTAGTGTGATATCACCTGAGTAAGGGCAAAAGTTTGTTAGTTCTGATGTGTGATACAATCATGTTTCTTTGTGGTACCGGACAGTACCTGCTCTGTTCCAGTAATAGGTTTAAGAGCTACATTCCTGTGATATCAAAATGTTCATTACTGTCTGATTTAGTGCTCAGGAACTTTCTTCTCTCAGGCATGCTCCATACTGTGAGAATTCACCTCAGTTTAGAATACCTCCTCCTTTATTCTTTATAACTTTATCTTCAAGGCATTCCTTGCTACTGTCTGTTGCTATGCATCTACACTGCACAAGAAATAGAAACATACATGCTGTATAAATCCTCAAAGTTAAGCTACTAGAAAACTGCCCATTTAAGCACTTGCAGTACAATAGGATTCTGACCTATGGGTGAATCTAAGATTTTGAAATGGAAGGTGGCAAATGGTGTGACACATCATCACATACAACACAATACATTTTTCTCTAATTAAAGAGAATCTAGAAATCTTACTATTATGCTAGGGAACTAGCACTATATTATTCAGCTTAAGATCAAAGCAAATATAATTATTGGAATAGCATACATTTGCTAAGCTTATATATGTTTTAAAACAGTCAAAATAATCAAAAGATAATGCCATTAGTCATGTAGTCATTCTAGTTTAATGTGTGTGTGTGTATATGTGCACCCTCAAGAAGACCTAAGGTGATTTACATTGCGTTAGCTGCCATATTTATGGTGCACTAAGGGCAGGTTTACATGTGCACATCCTTAATGTGCCTTAAACATGCTGACTTAGGGCTATCTGGGACCAAATTTGATACCTGTATAAAGCAAGTATCAAATTTAGGCTCGATTAGTTAAGGCACTGTAAATCACGTGTAGGCGTCTTAATGCTATGTTGGCTGTACTAACAGGAGCCCAGCTCACGGGGCTGTGTGCTTCTGCAGGCACCACCAGGAAGAAAAAAGTGACAGCTGGTGTTGCAGCTGCTGGTGGCTTCCCCGTGCCTCTCCCTTGGGACAGGTTTGGTGGCCCAGCAATGCAGCCCTGCAGTGGTGGGACGCCTCGCTGCCTTCCCAGGATTCAGGTGCCCTTAAAAGCCCACACTAGGGCTCCCACCCATTACAGCAGGCAGGCTGAGACTGCATCTGCCCCATTGCCTGATACAGCTTTCCCTGTTCCACCCACCTCTGTCCTGGGCAAGCGCCCAATGGCAGGATGCTGGGAGAGGTGGCGTCAACTCCTGGGGGCTCTGTTTGGCTCAGCCCAGGAAGTCTGGGACTGCATCTGCCTCCAGTGCCCAGCGTGGCTTTCCCTGCTCCCCTGCTTGATCCAAGCCTGAGCTCCCACCTGCATTATGCCCAGGCTGAGCCACATAGAGGCCCAAGGAGCTGCTGCCACCTCTGTCACAGGCAGTGAGAATTATTAAATAGCTGTTGGCAACTCTAAATCAATAATGCTGGATTCCTGAGAGGGTAGTTAAGAGGTCATAGATCACTTGTTCTATCTGGTTCAATGCTCTCTCTCTAGCATCCACTTCTGCCATGGTAGGAGACAGGTTACTGGGCTAGATAGACCACTGGTCTGTCTCAGTATGGCACTTTTTATGTTTGTATGGTCATATATCCATGAAGCAGTACTTTGGACTCTAGGGCTTCTTAGTGTTGTTCAGCAAGTGAGACAGCTCTTTCTTAGCTGGGTATAATAATACTTGTACTTGACTCTATTAGCCAGTTGACAATGGGACTGCTTCTTCTCTCTAGTACACAGAGGTCTGCATGTCAAACCTTTCCTCCCTTGACATGAATGCCTTTTCATTCCTCTGATTTGTTCACATTTACACATATATACATCTTAATTTTTTTTTGTTTTGTTTTACAGGATTCATTCCCTACCAAAAAGCACAGGTTGGAATGTACTTCCCTATACCAGCACCTGAATCAAACCCTGCCTTATCAAGACTTGTTCCAGCAAAGGAACAACAATTATTGATGAACACAGATACTGGTGACTCCTTATCATTATGTGAGAAGAACAACTTCATCCCTTGCCATCCTGGTATCTGTTTGGCATGTGGCCATGGGTGGAAAAGTCTTTCCCGTCCTCCTGGAAAACAACTAACCTCTGAGCAGGAAGAGAAGAAGTCATCTTGTGACCCTGACATTGCTTTGGCATGTGGGCAAGAAAAGAGCCATGGACCTTGCCATTCGGAAATCGCGCTTGCATGTGGTCAGGGATGGAACAATTTTCCCTGCCTCCCTAGAATCAAAGAGGTATGGGAGAGAGCTCTGTACCACACTGCCTTTGTAGAGACTGACAAAATGAAAGTGTGTTCCTTATTTACATTGGCACTCTAGAGGGGGTAATATATATCAAACATGCTTTGTGTATTTGTGTATGTGTATAGACTTTATTGAAATTCATGTAGTTTGCTGTGTCCGTCTTAGCAAGTCACCCAGACCACTCTGATAACTAATAATTAAACCTAATTTTATGGAAATAATTAAACCTGATGTATGGAAAAGAGGTATTATAAAATACATTTGATATCTCTTGCAAAAGTAAAAATTTGGTTGATAAAGATAATTGTGTTGACACGATATATTTAATATTCCGTAAGTTTTTTGACTCAGTCCTACATGGCAAAAATAAAAACAGTCAAATATATATTCCAGAGGTAAGGATTCTTTGGGTCATGCATCTTTTATTGGACCAACTGTATTGTCAAGATAAAGTCAGACAAGCTTTTGAATGCAAAATATTCTTCAAGTCTGAAGAGGAAAGCAAGCACAACAATTTTTAAGAACAGTAGGTACAGCTGTGAAATATGAGGGGGAGAAATTCTCAGGGGTAGCAGATAAATAATTAGTAGAAGAAAAGAAGCTTGATTTCTGGGTGATCAAGATGAGGGATGAGGATCATTATTACCTGTTGTGTAGAACCATCCTGCAGTACACACACATCTGAAGTCATACAGGAGCTTACTTACCAGTACCCAATCTCTTGATGCCATACCCAAGGAGACACGACTACAGATGTGAAACAAGAGACTGAAGAAAATACTTGACAGTGAAAAAATGTACATTCCAGCAGCTCAGTCCTTATTACCAGGGGCTGATGAACTATGGCAAAAATAGCAATGTTTCAACCACCTACATACCAGACTTGGATGTTCCAAGGAACTAATGAAGAAGTGGAGCTATACCACTGGTTCACTACCTGTGACTGAGGCAAAGAGCCTCAGACTATGCAACACCTGCTGCAATGCCCACTGCTTGAAGGCGCATGTACACAGTAAACTACAAGAATTTCAATAAAGTCTATACAAATACACAAAGCCTGTTTGATATCTATTACCCCCTCTAGAGTGTCATGTACTTTTCTGTCTATGGCGGCGGGGCTGGACCTAATGATCTCTTGAGGTCCCTTCCAGCCCTTAATGTCCAATGTCTAAGAAATGACATGCACGAGCATGTGTAACAACATGGTCAAATGTGGTGTAGAGACATGAGGAGAAGAAGACGACCTGTCAGGTATAGAAAGAATTTCAGGAATCAAGTGTGTTATAAAATCAGTATCGATGTTCAGTCCTTGGTTCCTAGTGTCTAGCCAGCTTATGAATATTCCTGAATTCACCTTTTAAAGGCGTTTGGTAAATTTCCCTTGAGCATGAGGATAGTGAGGTCAGAAAGCAACCGGTTGTTCTGTGAAAAGTGTGTTCCTACTGGCATATGTGTATCTCCATCCTTTATATTTGTTTTTTGTAAGAGTTCATTTTGTTTCATGAGTAGCTATTTAGTTTCAGCCACATAGTTACCAGGAAGGCATTTGGTACATTGGATCAGATATATCACATTTTGGGTTCTGTAGATTCCAATAGGCTTGTTGTGGGAAGCTGTAATTGTAGTAGCAGTGGGGATGTGTTGACAGATTAACCACCTATTATTAATGTCTGTTGAGCAGTAGGCAGTTTGCTTCAGGTGACAATTTGGGCAAAGTTCAGAGGTTTTTTGAAAGCCAGGAGCAAGAGGCACTGGGAATATTTCTCTCAAGGTCTGATCTTTGTTAAGTATAGGTTGTAGCTGTTTGATGATTCTTCTAATTGGTTCCAGAGTAGGGTCATAGGTGACCACCAGGGGTATATGTAGTATTAAAGAACTTAGGGAGGACCCCATACCAGCATTTGCTCTGGGACTGGAAAACATTATATCCTTCCCATCCTAGCTTCAGAAAAAACTATTTCCACTTATCCTTAACTCTCCTATCCCAGGAACTTTTTATATGCTCCCAAAAATCCGAAAACAAGGTAACCCTGGCACACCTATCATATTCAACTATGATACCTTCCCAGAAGAGCTATCAGGATTCATAGAAACTACCCAGAAACCACTTGTCATGAAAAGAACAAGTTTTCTACAAGACACCACAAGACTTCCTCAACAGAATCCAGAGCATCAACCACTCCTGAGCAGGCCATATTTGCAACCATGGGTATCACCTATCACCAGCCTGTATACTAACATCCAACACCATGAAAGCACAGCTGCCTGCTTGAAATACCTACAAGAACATGGAGCATATAACAGATATGCAACAGCATGTTGAAAAAAATCATCCTCACCCACAACTTCACTTTCAACAATCAACACTTCCTCCAAACCATGGGCACAGCTATGGGCCAAAAGAAAAAGCATTTCTAAAAAACTGCAGTATTAAACCTGCACTACACCTCCATTACGTAAATGTTCTTTTCATCATTTGAACTGAGCACCTGGTCTCACTTATTGACTTTAACCACAGGTTTAACAACTCTCACTCCTTGATCAAACTTTTTCTAGAATACTTCTACTCTACCATCAACTTTGTACATAGCATGGTCCACATTTGGGATGGCACCCTACAAACTGCCATATGCAAAAAAACCTATAGACCACCATACATATCCCCACAAGACCAGCCATTTTCCCAAGCACACCAAAACAGCTGTAATGTACAGTCAAACCCTCAGATACCACCATATCTGCTCTGAGGAGAACACTCATGATAAAAAAATATAAAAGGACAGACATACATATTTTTCTCATCTACATATATAGAGCTCTGCTGTAGCATTATTAGTAACTCAACCAGCGGGTATCAGATTAGGCCTTGTTGTTTAAATGCAGTAAAGACAAAACAGCAGTTGTGATTAATAAGCCACGGCAAAGAAGGAAAACACACAGTCAGGGGAGGAGACAAATTTAAATAGTGCTTACTGTACTTTTCGCTTTGGTTTTTAGCCTGTCAGAATTGAGGCAGTGGCTCTGCCTGCAGTGACTGAAGCCGTGGATGTAAGCAGATACTCTCAGCTCCCACAGCTGGATGTGCCCAACCTGATCCAACGGAAAGCTATTTCAGGTAGACACCAACATCATGTGCAGAATTAACCCTAGCAATATGAGGCCATTTAATCTTGAAAGGATTAGATGACCTCTGGAGGTCCCTTCCAGTCCTACTTCTCTATGATTCTATGGTTCTCTGAACTGGATCTTCATTCTCTCTTGCTTCTGAAAATCTTGCCATATTTACTTGAATCCAAGATGAGTCCCGTCTCCCCCTCATCCCCATTTTAACATGGGGGGAGCCTCTTGACTTGCATTTGAGTACAAGTCGGGGATCAGGTAGCTGCTGCAGCTCAGACTCTGGTCTAGGGTTGAGGTTGGGTCAGGTTCAGAGTCAGAGCCACAGCTACTGCCACCCCCCTGCCTCCACTGTCCCCCACCCCGTCACAGAACACATGGTTGCTCCAGCCTCATCCTGGGCACTGCCACTACTGCATGGCTGGGCTGGGGCTGGAGCAAATGTGCCAGAGGGGTATAGGCTGCAGAGTGGGGGCAGAGGTGGTGGTAGAGGGGCAGGCCTAGGGGCAGAGGTTGGGGAAGCTGGCAGCAGGGGGCAGATATCAGGCCATTTAACTCACCTACCACCTGACCCCCTGCCACCCATTGCCCCACTGCAGCAGTGGGGGAAGGGGGGGTGGGGGGGGGGGAGAATGAATTTCAGGTGACACTCCCCTCCCAGTAATTAGATTCTATACATGAATACTTTATAAATAAATTCAGAAGCATCTTGGATCTGGGTAAATACCATAGTTTTGCCAGTAGTTTCAGCTTGATTACAGATAGAGAATGGTTATTCACCCTACACTACAGTGACTATGATTCTTCAAGATACTGTAATCAATGTGAATTCCACTGTAGATATGCATGTGCCTCATGCATAAGAAACTTGAAATATTTGAGTAGCAGTACATATGAAGGCTGTGTATGTGCCCTGTGCCTTCTCTTGCTCCTATGCAAAAGCAAAAGTGCTGTAAAGATATAAAAATAGAAGACGCAGTTATGATTAATAAGCCCTAGCAAAGAAGGAAAGAGTACAGGCCACAAAGTGGGCTCATTTTGCTACGTTAAACAAACCAGAGTCTTGAGTATGTGTCAGCTTCCACTGCGGGTTACTGGCAGAAAATATTACGTCAAAAGGCTAGGGGATGAGAAGCATCAACTGCATCAAACACTGATTGAAGTACTGCTGGCAAATATGGAAAGTTACTGGCTATTCAGCCTTACAGATTTCATGGATTGGAATAGTTCTGAAGCATCTGATAAGTGCACTCTCTGCCCTGGTGGTCTGCACTTAAGTGTTCACAAGGAAAGGGATGTCAGCCAGGTGTCTGCTGGTAGCATAGGTGCCAACTTTTATTTTTGCCAGGGGGGGACCTAAGAGGATGTCCCCTGCCTCCCCCGCCAGTGGCATGACTAGAACAGAACTGAGTGAAGTCTGTGGGGGGGCAGGGGTGAATGCAAGCTGCCTGCTGTGGCCTTGGGGCAAGCTGCCCTGCTGTCCTCCCCACCAGGAGTCCCGCACTAGCTGCACCACCGTGGTGAGGCACCCCCAGCCCATTCGGCAGCAGTGGGGGGCACACCTCCATACCACCACCCCTACTGCTCCTGGGCAGGCAGAGGATGCTTTGTCATGGCAGTGTGGCTGGCACAGGCTCCCAGGGGAGGGCCAGCAGGGCAGGGAGCTCCATGGCTGCATCCATCCCTGCTCTGTGCACAAGTCTGAGGGGGCATGTGCCCCTCCATGCCCCTCTCCCTGGGAGTGTGCCCAGCAGCAGTGAGATGCCCTGCCCCCTGGATGAATCACCCATGGCTCTGTGCTGCTCCCTGCCCTGATCCTGGACCCCATGCAGACCCCCAGGCCCAGCCCCTGCCCCACTCCCTCCCTCACTGTGGAGGCCTCAATCTGCACCACCACCCCTCCCCCAACTTAACTGCAGGCAGCTGGGGAAGCTGCTCTCAACCACTGCCTGAGGCTGAATTCCTGACCATGTGCATGTGTGTGCATGCACACATGCATGTGGCACCCCCCTGTGTCCTGCTCCCCGCAGCCCCTTCCAGGCTGGAACTCTGCCAGCCTGCAGGAAAAACCCATCATTTCCTGTGGTTTTCCATGGTGAACGGAAAACCCGGATACCTGCATGATATGGGGAATCTGGGACAAATACTGTCCTGGAGTCATGCAGCCTGGGATGGGACTTGATGTTCCCATTTTGGAACTGCTGCACTTAATTAGGGATGGGTGGTCACCCTATGCCTCTTTCTGACGGGGGGCGGGGGGGGGGGGGGGGGGCAGGGCCCTT